TAATTCAATTATCAACAATTTGTATAGCTACTACATTGGTACATACATATGTATGTACTACATAATTTTATTATCATATCTTTTCTTCAGTTAATTTTACCTTACACCTGCGTATTTTTTAATTTGTCCAATAAGAAACGCTTTCCGTTTCAATGCTCTGTTTTTTTTTTTTTGTATTTTGGCTGCCCAAAAAAGAAGCAAAAATTGTTAAAAATGTCGCGTACAAGGTGAAATTTTTAGTGAAGCGGCATGAACAACAAAAACTCATTAAACTATCACCCAGCTAGCATTTTGACGATGAGCAAATGCTGTCACATTTACCCAGCAAATGTAAAATTACTTGTGCGAGAACAAAATTTTCCTGCATTAGTTTGAAATATTTGAATATTAATCAAAAATGAAAGATAACACAGGTTTACAACAAAAGAAAAACGTTTCTGCATATTGAACCAAATCTCTATGTTCCTATGTTATTCGACGCGCTGAATGCGAATCCGAGGTCTGTTAGCCTCCATCACGTCTGATTCGAGGTCGTTTGAAGGTCAAGTAGGGACAAATTCATTGAATAAACCTAAAAATGCATATATATAGGATTTTAGACTCGGTGAACCCGAATCCGAGGTCTGTTAAACTCCATAATGTCAGGTTCGAAGCCGCTTCAGGGTCAAATAGGACAAGAAATTTATTGAATAAATAAAAAAAAAAAGTGTTTTTTGTTGTCACTAAACCCCAATATGGGGATGCGTTGATTCCTCAAGGTCATAGGTCATCTAGATGTCATGCCAATGTCAGAATTTTCAGGTTTTTTCAATGATTTTTCCATTACTTGACCTTCAAATGACTTCGAACCTAGGGATGGCAAAAAAAATAAAGTAATCGATTAATTAATCATATGATTATTTAATCGCAAGCAAAAAAATTAATAGCAATTAATTGCAATTATTGAGAAATAATCGCTTAATCGAATTTTTAAAGGCAATTTTTTACAGTGAGCATTAAGAAAAACACTTTTCCACGAAAAATTTCTAATTTTCTTGTTAATTAGCCTTAAATAAAATAAAACGAGTATTTTTAGCACAGTGATAAACGATCCCCCAGACGTTTGTTCTTATTTGATTCTCCTTGAAAACGTTCTCGATACTTTCGTATTCACTTCGTTATCATTCCGGTTTTTTTTTTTTTGAGAACGTTCCCGAACTTTTTGTTCTCATTTTGTTTGCGTTCAAACTGCTCTCAATTCTTTTGTTCCCGTTTGGTTCATTTGCAGGAACGTTCTTGACATTACATTAGGTTCTCGTGCAGAACTAAACCAAAACCGGAACGCGTTATCGGTCCCTGATGTAAATAAACTCTCTAGTTGTCAACATGCGTTCTATTATTCGCCTTTCTTCGAAATCCAGCTTTCGACTTAGTTGAAATATGGAAATTTGAAAGAAACCAGTTCCCCATTTTCTAATTGAGAAAAAAACAGGTTTTACTTTACATATTATCTCCACAATAATGGTTCGTGTTAGTCAAAAACATGACCAAAATTACAATATGACTTCGAAAAATATATGTATATAGCTCTAATTTAGAAACCAATAATAAAAAAAAGTTCGAAATATTTTGGATTCCAGGAAAAATAGAAAAAAATTCAAACCTAATGGGGTTCACCGCTGTGGTGTAGTGGTAAGCTCTCACCACTCATCAGCACCTGGGTTCACGCCCTGGTCAAAGCAACACCACAAAAAAAAAAATGTAGAAAAAAAGGTTTTCTTAACAGCGGTCGTCCCTCGGCAGGCAATGGCAAATCTCCGAGTGTATTTCTGCCATGAAAAACAGCTTCTCATAAAAATACAATCGCCGTTCGGAGTCGGCGTAAAACTGTAGGTCCCTCCGCTTTGTGTGACAACATCAAGGCGCACGCCACAAATTGGAGGAGAAGCTCGGCCAAAGACTAACGTATGTGTATCATCGAAGACCAACCCCACCTATCGCTTCGCGAGGCTTGCGATAATTGGACTGAACTGCAATCTGAATATTATAGCAGGTTACACAGTTCAATCCAATTTGAATAAGATGCCGCGACGACCTCTTCACATTACCCACGACCCAGTCACATCGCGTATGCCCTAAGCCTGTCGTTAGATGCCAATGAATGAATGAATGTCGATTCACTGATTTGGACACAGTTTAGTCAGCTGCCATAGCAAAAATGCGCAGTGAAAGAAAGTTTGTTATTTCTTCTATTTTTAACCGACTCCAAAAAAGGAGGAGGTTATCAATTCCTTGGAATATTAACGATACTCCTAAATTTTTTTATGAGAATTGAAGTTCGTTGTTTTTTTTTTTCTTAAAAATTACTTCTTTAAGTAATTTTCTGGAAAATGTTGCAGTATTCAGATATGATATCAGTAAAAATTTGCTATTTCCATTTTCAATAAAAATAAATATTTAGAATTTTTGATTTCTGAGGTACATATAAATAAACTAGACGAAAACACGGTTTATTCGTTTTTAAAAGTCCGGCACTAGATATCGAGAGTGCCTTCAATAATGTTCTCCACATCCTAACTCGCCTTTGTCTGCATCACTCTCTGGTAGAGTTTATTGGCCGCCTTTAGGCAATAGAACTATATATTCGAAGATAAGGAGGTATCCGTACGTAACAAGATACGCAAACCGTCGTACCACGCAAAGTGGTGTCCTTTCCTCGCTCTTTTGGAATCCTGCGGTCAATACACTGCTTTCACGGTTGCAAGATACAGATCGTCAGGTAATTGCATATGCTGATCATCTTGCCCCGACGGGAGTTTCTACGCATACCCTAGTTCTATGTTACTTGGTTTAAGGCGCCTTACGCGTCTCATTGTCACTCAGGCAAAAGGAGCAATTGAAAAGGACTAAGGAATAATTTCGAAATAAAGATCTCTTCAAGAGGTAATTAGCAGGAGGATTTAGGCCCGATCTCGAACTCCGGTTCAGCAGCCATCTACACTAATGGCTCCAAGTAATATCGAAGGTAGCTAATGGGATATGTTCTCGCTTAGCCTACAGCGCTTTTCAAGCTGAATTAACAAGAATTAATGAAGTTCATATATGTATGGCTGATGTATAACTATCTTTTTTGATGAGCAATCCACCTCGGAAATTATCATGGAATGTAGACGTACTCTAAAGGAGCTGGCAAGGAGTTACGTCAATCATGTTGTAAGTATAGCTGTCAGGCCATAAAGTCATCCCGGGCAACTGTGTTTCAAATGGACAAGCAAGGAAAAGTATATACCTTACTCTCTGCAACCGGTACCACTCGTAATGCGGATATTTCGCTATCTTCCTGCAAACTCTGACTGTAGAATAAATTTATTGAACTGGCAAAAATAAGATGGTCTGCAAAGCCCACGTGTAGGATAACAAGACATATTTCGCCTATGTTCAATACGTGTAGATCTCGCCCTCTCCTTCGTTTCGAACGACCACTACGTCGAAATGTAATTTGAATTCTCACCGGCCAATGCCAGTGATGAAAACCCACGCTATTAGGATGGGTTTGTCGTCAAACGTATATAACATATAGCTAACCTCAGCTAACAAGCAAAGCTTCTTAAGCCAAACGATTGCCGACCGAGGATGATTTTATCTTATGAATCCAGGATCCCGGTATTTCCGTCCTTCTCAGCGGAATAAGTCACCAATTAAAGGGCCAAGTGCAGGAGCTACTTTTTAGGTCCATTTTATTTAAGGGCTTGATGATTGCCCTCCGGCAGACATATGCACATGCCTAAATGGACTGGGTGGTAAAGTGTCGGTTTTCCTTAATTAACTTAAGCATACCGTTATTTTATTACTTGAAAGCAGACAAGCCATTAAGTAACTTTGAAAGAGTACTTTATTTCCTTTCGACTATAAAACGTCCACTTGAATAGTTTACTCATACATATTACAGAATACTTTTTGTTGTTCATATATAAGTATGTACACAATTTCGCTGGAAATGCATATATCATGATATTGTAAAGCAGTTTTTTATACCCGTAAATTTTACTTTTACTTATTTACTTACATATGTACATACATATGTAGGTACTTAAATAGTGTTTTCCTTACATTATTCAGTTACTTAAAATGTGTTTCTTTTTTATTAGTCGCGATTACGTATGCAAGTTTTTTTCACTTGGTAAGTTTAGTAAAGGTTAATTTGAAAAAAATAAGTAAAAACAAAAATATTAATTTACAGCCAAAGCTACTATCAGCGGCAACAGAACAGGAAAATGAGGCGCGAGAAATTTGTCATATAACATACAACCGCAAAGAAATTCATATTGTAAGTGATAGATACACATTTACACAAAAATACATATGTATGCACATTAGGGTGCCTCATCGAAAAAAGTGTCGGTTTTCCACCGATATTATCAAATTTATTATATTTTAAGACTTTTGCTAAAATATTTCACACACAATTTAAGATTTATGCGAGCTGGACTGATTTGAAATCACTTCTAAAAATCTCATTATTTCGATTCCGTTGATAAAGTGTTTAAGCATTTTTATGAGGACCGTCTGAGGTGATTATTCGCAAAAAATTGTGTTTTAAACTAACTTTATTTATAAAGACTCAATTTTCGGAGTCATTGTTAAATCGTCCTATCTTACGTAAGTTTTAATATTTTTCAGAAATATTTTTTTTTGGAAGTCTCAAAATATAGTAAATTTTATAATAATAGTACCAATGGTGTTTCTTCTTTTTTTCTGTATGGATAGTGATGCACCCTAATATACATACATACATATGTTAGTAAGTGACTGCAGTGGTAAAAGAAGAAAATATAGTTCCTGTGATAGAGAAAGAGCGAAAACACCAAAACCTGCCGAGGCAAGTAGCCAAATGATTAAGCTGCGACCGACGACAGCTACCAACACCACAAGCAGCAGCTGTTGGACAAGAACTGGCTGCTCCGCCAAATCACAGTCGAACGCTTAAGAAATCGTTAAAGATATTTTAACCGTCAGTCTAAGGTGAGCACTCGACTTGTTCGGTTCGTTTATATATACATATAGCGCGTAAGCCAAACGCTCCGTTTACATTTTGCCATTTTGATCGCTTCCGCCGTTCCTTACGCGTCTTATTCGAACGAAATGACTGAAATTTTAAGACATTAACACACCTTGAATCAGAAAGAGAAACGCTGCAAATAACACACATAAATACAGATATAGAAAGGCATATAATAAGTGATCGTTTAGTGTGAAAAGTGAATTTCAAAAGAATTTATGTAAATGTGCATATTTTGAATTTCAACGTAGTAGTTAAAGCCATTTTCGATAAAAGCATCGTTCGTGCAGTTATTTGTGTATTTTCTTGGAGTATCCGAATCTGACGTACAACAAAAAAAAAAAACTCTTATTACCCAAAATGGCATACCGGTGCTTTTGGAGGAGCATTACCAATGTAAGTGACCTCATTCAAAAACGACGAACAGCGCGAGAAAATTGTGTAGCGAATGGATGGATGGATGGAGGAGGATTCTCTGCACAATGCAGCTTTGTGTTGTATTGGTGCATTCATATATGTACCCACATACAGTGTACATATGTATGTATGTATGTATGGCAATGAGCATCTTGTATTCTTCTTGCTGTTCTTAAGCTCTTCCAGTGTCAAACCAGTATCGGCTTGTAAAATACTAAAATATATTGGATGTTAAATGCGCATTCCCGCATATACATATGTATGTTGTATCGTGTGCTATGCTTGTATGTTTTTTTACGTATTTGGGAAAATATATATGTCTGGATTAGTTTAGGTACAATATTTTAAGGCTAAATTTTGTTATAGACGCAAGGCTTGGTAAACAATTTTTCGCCCGTACTCGAAATATCTCTGTATATACATATGTACATATGCATGGAACTTTGTATAGTTGTATATAAATACATGTGTATACATTTATGCACATACTTCCAAAGAATTCCTTAAACGCAGCCAAAGTTCATAATAACGGTTTTTTTTTTTTAATTACGTATGTATACAAACGCAAACATTTCAGCTTCCCATCAACTTTGTTGAATAGTTTGCGGTTAGCGCATGAAAGAATAAATCAAGACACGTCCATTGTTGTGTCGTTGGTGAAAATTAATAGTTTTTCACTTTGTCACCCCATTCGGAATGAGGCGAGAATGCTGAGACAAATAATAAGCCATTTAAAATGATTTATAGTTGAACCAACAATACTCAATTGTTGTAGCGTATCGGTAAGGTAAGATATGGAAGGTGTGTGTGTGCCAGTTTTTCACACAAAAATTTCAATAACAATTTTAAATAAATTTTGAAACTAAGGTTGTTTGTGTCGGGATCATCTTTGGACAACAAAGAGTTTCTAAACAAAATAAGGGAGAACACCAAATTTTATCGAAATCACTATATAAAACGTTGTGTGACGTTTTCATATACTAAACAGTGCCCAAAAATAGTAAACGTTCTTCCATTTAGTTAGCTGGTATTTAATATATGTATGTATGTACACTGTACAGCCTTGAGTATAAAGCATTTTTGCAAAGGACATTAAAAAAAAAAAGATTTTTTTGTTTGCCGAACGTTCATATGTATGCACATTAGGGTCGTCTAAAAAAAAGTAAAGTTGGAATTTTAGTGCTCTCAGCCGCTAGGCTTGATCTATACCAAAACAAAATATACGCTGTGTTTTAAGAGATCGCCTCAAAGCGCCTAAACCCTAAAAAAATGCGATGTGGGGACCCACAAAAAATCGTTAGTGTTAAAAAATTATAAAATAAACAATTGGGTATTATTACTGGAAGTCTCCTGAAGAGAAACAGTGTTATCTGATTGAAAAATATTCATTTTCAAGAATTCTATAGCGAAAATACATGGACAACTAACTTTAAACACTTTGAGCGACCTCTAAATATTTTTCGATTTCGAAAGAAAAAAACAAGAGTATATTTTTCGATAGGTTTGTTTATATGTTATGTTATATATATGTTATGTTATGTATGTTTTGTTTCCATTGTAGCCTTGCATTTGCAATTCTTTTAATTTTACTCTCAAAAAATGCTTGCAGAGTCCTGCATCTGAATCGCTCTTCAAAGTGCGATTATAACGAAGATGTTTGTGATGCCTACAAATAAATATACAACCCCGATTCTTGCAGAAACATAGCATGCCTATTCGAGTGAAGCAGAATGTATTGTATAATTACATAGTGTCATGTATGTATCCTGTATGTGCTGAGTGCCAAAATACGCTTAATAACAGCCTAGCTCATAATTGCTGGCGATGTTGAGTCAAATCAAAAGACTTAAGATGCGAACCTGTCTATTTATGCGTGGGAATTGTAACACTTACATACGTATGTATGTACGTAGATACTTGATTTTTGGCGGGTATGCCTTTATTAGACTAAACTGTATTGAAAAAAATTAAAAAGACAACAATAGTGTAATCTGAAAAATATTTGATTGATGATCATCTGCGACGCAGCTATTAAAGTATTGTTAAATCATTAGTTAAACATAACTAAAGAAATTTCTATAGAATTTTATTTTCTTTTCTATACTTAAAAATAAGTTAACAGCCACACGATTGGTACAATACAGGGAACACCTATTGAAAAAATTGAACAAATTGTTTTTTCGTAATTTTTATAAAGAAAAATATTTATATATTCACATGATTGGTATACCATTTGTACCAAATTTTGGGCGAATTTCCAATCATGTGACACTTTCAAGAACATTAAATGCGATTATTAGCGATTTTCATCTGCCTATTCATCTATTTGTATACCCTTTTTGAATACAAACATGCCCCCAGTTTAAGGGATATCGTGTTTTTAAAATGTATTAATCATTTGTCATAACAAAATCAGACCACTACAACGCATAGGTTAGGTTATGCGGACAACCCCGAGAGGCTTACTTACGTATTGTAAAAATTCCTTTGACCGGTTACTACAGGCAAGCTGTGCTAGGTTAAGAGAAGCGTTGGGTGCTTAAAACAAAGATGCGAAGGAAGTTGATGTCCACTCCGCAGAGTTCTTGGGGAGCGTTGATGGAATACCGGCCGAGGTGTTTCAACCTTAGTGTAAAGAGAGTCGGGGAAAATGAGTGGGAAGTACTCAGATAATTTCACCTCGTTCTCCAATAAACTCCTATGCCCTACCAGTCCGAGCTGATGACCGCGAAAGTACTCTGCCTAAGATCCAAACTAGCTTAAATTGGGAATACTCCAAGGCGATTATCAGATACATCAGGCATCCCCGACCAATTTAGATCGTACCATGAGTGAACTCAGTGCCTTTATTGTAGTTTGGCTATCAGAGTAGATATTTACGCTTCTAATCAGCAAAACACTGGTGTATAGACAACTAGCTGCAACTTTTATAGCGGCCACCTCTGCCTGAAAAATGCTCCATATGCTCCGGCAGCCTGATAATAAAACTTATTGAGATTTCCTCACAGAATGTACTTCGTACAACTCCGCCATTCGGCTTCATTTCATCCGTGAAGATATTTATTGGACCCCTACTCTCGTAGCTGACATTCTCACATTCTCTCCTTCTAGGGATGCAGGGGGGAAAAATCCATTTGGTTCAGCGTCGGAACGCTCCGATTCGGTTTCTTCCGGTAAGAAGTCGAAGCTTTGAAAAATTGTCGGGTGCTCGTATGCCGGACTGGATGAGAAGTCAGAGTCTTTTTAGCCTAATGGCGGATGGCAATGTCAGCATCTGCGTCTTTGAGCATAGAGTTGAGCTCTGGAGTAAGCAAAAGTGGTGCTGAGCAATGCAAGCGCTCTAGCTTCCTAACAAGAGTAGACTTTTGTAGTAAACTACACCAGACAATGACCCCATATAACATAAATGTAGCTTTCATACAACTGATTGTTCAGATATGAGATTTAGTGCCGTTGTCTCATTTTTAAAGAACAACAGTTATATTTAAAGCGGGGACCGTAACAGTTACAACTTTAAAAAAAAATCGCTCTTTAACAATTATATTTTGACTTTTATTTAATTACTCCTTAAATAACCGTTATATCTGACTTTTATGTTATAAATCCAAAATAACAATTATTTTTGATTTTTATCTAAATAATCTGCAAATAACAGTTATTTTTGATTTTTTAATTATACGTCTTAGATATCGAAGTTATCGAAGACTTTTATTTGTAAAACTCATAAATAAAACTCAGTCAGTGGCCTTTACTTTTTAAATCATCCTTATAAAAGTCATTTGTATAAGTCGTAGTAAACTTTTGTTTCGCAACACCTTGTTAACTACAAAAAATGTTAGTGACTTTTATACGAATGATTTGAAAAATAAAAGTCGGTGACTGATTTATATTGATGACTTTTAAAAGTAAGATTCACAGACTGATAAATAAAAGTCTTCAATAACTGTTATCTAAGACATATAATATAAAAACCAAAAATAATGGTTATTTTGGATTTATAGTACACGAATCAAAAATAACTGTTATTTTTTTAATTTTGCCTAAAAATTGCAAATAATATTTTTTTTCAAATCCATGGGTATGTATCACTTGGTTGTAGAACATTTCTTTCATAGTGAATTTTACGATGACAATTTTCATCAATAACTGTTATGTTCGGTCCCTGATTTAAGAGCAGATAAATTTTAAACCCTACTTGAGAAAACGGTCCATAGTTATATAACTCCCCCATTTAAATAGCTAATGAACTGATGAAAATTGTTGATACTATAATCTTTAAAATGGGCCTCCGTTAAATTTTCGATAACTTCACATTTCGGTTACAGTTATGATCCAGTTGACATAAAGGTGCATCTAATTGTTGACAGGCATCGATCACTGCTTCATTTCCTAACCAATTTATTTTTAACTGAGACTTGCAATGTCGCTATAAAATTTTTCTTCCATTACGCTTTGAGATTTTATGTTTAGAAGAATTTTGTTTGACTGTATTTATGCTGCCTTTGGCGATTTCATTATTTTTTGCTGCCTTACTTTCGGAAATAGCTTCGAGCTAAATTTCAGTTATGCCAAACAATGTCAACCTTTTTGCACTCACACGTATTTATGTTATTGAGTTCGGCTTCTTTAAGTCATGCCTTATCTCTCTTTAAGCTTTATTTTTGTAATGAATCTGGTTTGAGGCATTTTGGATTTGGCATTGAACAGAAAATACTTTGGCTGTAAGCAAAATCATATGCATGTATGTATGTATTGCAAACTGTATAAAAAAAATCCACTAAAAGAGTATAGTTTTGATTTGACACAAAATGTTTTTTAATCAAGGCTGCAAAGTAAATGTCACAGTTGTAATTTATTTTATCTAATTTATCAGCACTTTTTCATGAAGGAGTCTCAGTAAACCTAAAGGCTTGTAATAAAGGGATCTACAAAATTATTCTACATAAAATAAATGCTACCAGTTACACCGCGCAAGACTC